GGTATAGCAGGGTAGGAGATGGAGGGATGACTGTGTTTGCACAAGCTAATATACAGCCTGTCAAATTCTCAAATTCAAACAGTCTTTCACAATAAACTGAATGTGAGTACATAACGCCAATATCTAACTTGATTAAACGTTTATCTATTTTTTTCAGTCTTTTCAGGGTTTTTTTTGTTCAGGAAAAAGAAACACCAACATAAAATATCTTGGTAAGGTCTCGGCCTCCTCACGCTCTGTGTGGAAGCTTCTGCACTCACTCGTTTAGATTCTCACCCATCTGTGCATACACCCACATGTGTGAATTAGAGTACGTGTAGATACTGAATTAGAAAATAGTAATTTGGAAAAAAGGTGCAACAAACATTTAAAAAAACATGGGAACAATGACAAAGCAAATGTTTAAAGCAGTATTAACCAGTGTTTTGGGTCAGAATGTCATAAGGTACACATAACACGCACATTTGACACACTATGGTCAAATTAAGCTGCTATGCCTAATGACTATTCACACACAGATAAAAAGCAACATTTGTATTTGAGTCGAGTTTCTGACCACCTGGCAATTTAAAGTCAAGTATTCATTCTTCTGTAGCTCTTGTTTTGGTCTCTACTCTGAAAAACATCTTAGTGTTTAGTTGCTAGATGTTCACCAGCTAGTTACTAACTTTGTTTGTGTCCAGGTAACATAGGGTTTATCAGAACAGCTGCCTGCTGCAGTTGGAAACAACGCTGATAAAAGCAGTCAGAGCGAACCAAAACAGTAGCGTTTTCTGCCGTAAAAACAAAACAATGAGCTAAAAGACACTAAAACTATCTCTGTACTGAGGGAAACTGCAGGCGGGTGATACATCTCTGTAGATTCTTCACTAAACCTCTCACATTACACATACTCGTTTGGCCCATTCTTATAAAAAAAAACATTGATTAGAGCAGCTTTTAATACACTTCACAGTCCAGTTTTTAAAGCTCTGTTTAGTTTTGTTGAAGTACAGCTTAATAGGTTGTGTTTCATGTTGTGCAGGTAAAAAGCACAGCCAGCTTGGACCTGGCAATGTGACAAATTAGACCTCAGTTGAACATGAAGGCTACTCATGTGATTAATCTAGGGAGTAGATTTCAGATGCAGGGCCTCACAGCACAAATAACAGCAGCTCGGGGTGCTTCAACAGCCTTTAAACAAAGCAGCTTAGATGTAATCTGGGCAGACTATTGAGAAGAGCAGCCACAACGGCAGCTAAGCCTATAGTCCTCCATATGGCATTTAAACAAGCAGTGGCTGTAAACTTCTCTGCCTCCCTGATAGCAGTGACTACGGCTCTGAGCTTGAAGTGGATGGTAGCCTGGATGTGGCTACAATCTAAATTGATGTCAACTCTATGGTTAACTGAGGCAGAGGAGCAGACATGAGGCCTGAGCTGAATTCCTGTTACACAGAGTCATTTTCCTGTGGTTCAACTTGAAGCATACAGACTGGCTCATACTGTACATTGACTCAGAGATTGATTGCAGTCATTTCACATGCTTTCAGCCAGTATGCACTTATAGACCAAGAGGAAAAATTGCCACTTTGAAGTGTTGCTTATACCCTCTAATGGTTGGTTAAATGACAATGTTGGATTGATTAGGCAATAAGTGCAGACTAAATTGATCTACCAGGATGTTGATATGACCAGCCATAAAGTAAATCCAGTGGGACATCAGCACTGTGCTGTGAAGAGTAAACATTAAAGAGGGCTGCCCTGATACCGGCTAATCATCATGTGCAACCCATCTTCTTCTTGTAGACTTGTCTCACCAATACTATGGCAACCATAAGAGGGGTGAAGGCTTGCAAACACACTTTCCAAAGTAATTACAGAGCCATTTTGGCTGGATTGTGTATAGGGAAAAACTAAGCCTTTAAAACGCTACCTTACAGTAATATTCACAAGACATAGAGAGCAACGAGCAGGCACAGCAAACTGCTTACTGAACAACCTGTAAACAATGAATAAATCCCTGGTACTCCAGCATTGGAAATCTATCCCTTTAGTACTTTAAACAATTAATATTTAGGTTTAAACTGCACCTCACTTCATGGCCAAGGTCACATGTGAATTAGCCTCTCTTATCATGGCAGAGGCCTTGCATTACAATTAGCCTAAGTCTATTTCAAAGATCCGCCCTCGGCTCCAGGGATTCACAAGACAGACTTCAATGGGAGCGTTTCTCTTGAAATGCTGACTCAGCCGGCAGCAAACCCAGTAGATTTTCCATAAAATAGCACCACAATAATACATAGCCATATCACTGCATGTGACTTTAACTAAAGAGTTAAAATATTGAACTGGAAATACTGATACGCATGCTGGCAAATGCTGGTATGACACGACACACACAACCACATCCTGTGTTCAAATTGAATTTACTACAGCTGTGAATGAACTGAAGTCAGTGAGAATTATGTTTAGTTATGTTAGGTTTACATAAACATATATACACAGTTTTTGTTTGCATAGATAAACAAACTTTAAACTATCAAACCTAGTAGTGGCTTCACCCTCCCCTTCCAAGCACGAAGGAGGAACTATGGTGGCACGCAAAAGTTGCCCTCATCTAGAGCCAGTGTTTGGTAAAATGCTCCTGAAATGTAAAACATATAAAATTGTAAGATGTATTTCATACATGTGGTTACACACATCTGTGGTCTGATCAGATGATGGAAGTCATGTGTCAACGTTTGAAAGGAGGCTTTCTACATCACACAGCATGGTCCCAGATTCAAATACCGTACTTTCTGTATGTCCTTGATAAGAAATTCTAGGGTTTTGCGAGGCGAGTGCTTGACTGTGGTCACACACACACAGCGCAAGCCTTTAATCCCAACGGCTCCTTACTGTGACCCATTCCCGATGATCAAACATATTAGGAGTGGTGCTGTTCTATCACGCCCAGATTGAACCTGTTATGGGAAGACTACGGCTCTGCATCAAGTCCAAAATGGGTGTTTGTAATATGTAATTGTTGGTAACCACTGATACGTTGGGATACAAAAGTTGGTCCGAGAGGCGTGGCGAGGTATCATCCTAATCATCTGCTATTCAAACTAAAGTGAGGTCATCAGAGTCACACAGTGCCACTCGCTCCGGCAATCAATGGAGCCAACTGCCATCAGGCACGGCTGAGACACATTAGGGTTTAAATGGCAGTAAATAACGCTAAACGCTGTGATTATAGCACTAAATTCTTCTAATGCTGGAGGGCTTCCATCCCGCCAAGAGCTGAGGCATCATGCTGGCAACAGGGAGGAGGAAAGGAGGGAGTGGGGGAGTTCCTGACATGCTACGAGGATCGGCTTTTCTGACAGCCAGCCTCACGAAATCCACGAGTTAGACAGGTAGAATTTGTTCTTCTTTCCGGAAAGCATAACAAGGATTAGCTTTGTAAAGGACACTTATGGATCCTTATCATTTCCTCACCCCTTACATTTACTGCTACAGACCCAGATTCAAGAGGGGAAACCGTAATGTTTAGAAACTGTAGGAAGTAGGTGACTCTAAAAGCAGTTGTGATTAAAGAAGAAGGCCCAAATCCCTCTGTGGCGTGATGTCAAACCTCCCTACACCGAAGTCTGCTGCCTCCTGCGCAGAATGGGATTCATCAGCGTCTGACAAGCAGCAATCACACCCCAACACAACACTGTAACACACACAGTGATTTGACTTCCACCTCAACTTGATCCACTTTCTGTAATGGGCTTACAGGCTGAAAGATCTGTGTCACCTATATAACACAAACAAAAGCTCTGGACCAGACAAAAACAGCAAAAGATAGAAAATTAAACCTTTTTCCTCATCTTAAAAGTTTGCAGATTCGAGAACCTGCATCGCTACGGTCGAATTCCTTCTGCTGAGCAGCCAGTGTTTATGAGAGCAGTGGGCCAGGCGACGATCACGTTTGACCCACATTTTGCCAGCTCTCAAATTTCACCATCACCCCACTGTTCTTCTGTTTAGCCCTTTTTTTCTCTCCTCTGACTGGGGAGCTCTGTGCTGGAAATTCTCCTTATCAGCAAAAAGTTCATTATGGCCTACATAATGATGCTTTAGAGCACAAGAGAGGATGGTGAATAATGATTTACTCCCAAAGCTCCGTCCTTCTTACAACTAAATTGCCACAAATCAGTCAACATATTGGTGCTTGATAAGCTTTTGAACACACCACCATCGTTATGAAACTTTTCATCTTAATTTACGTCTTTTTTTAAAATTCATAACAAAGTGTCCATCTTACATCAAATCCTCTTTAAGCGCTCTAAAACATGAAGGCTCTTTCAACAGCACGAGGAATGTTAAGCGCTCACTCCCCAGGTAACATAATTGTTGACAGACGCTGTTGACACTTTATGATGTGACAGATGTTTCAAAAGGACCTGGCATGCTGGGTACTTAGAGCTTTCAGTAGTGAGCCAGTGTCTGGACTCATAAAGTTTGGGGGGGGAAAAGGTTGCCATAAAACCAATCATTCGCTGTGTTATGACTGCAGGTGTCTCATGTGACCACACTGGGTAATTTACAGAAGCACACTCTGATCTGGAAGTGAACATTTTTATTATCTCGTATTCAAAAGGGAGGCAAAAATGTTGATGTTTGACGTGTTTCAACATGGTGTGGCTATAAAAAAGATGAATATTTTCAGATCAAGAATAATTTGGTTGAAAAAAAAACTGATTTGATTTGCAGCTGAATTCAATATGCTACAACTTTATCACTAGAGGGATAGGACTAAGACTCAAATCTAGCAGTGGCTGTGCTCTTTTTTTTTTTTTTGGTCGGTCGGAATACCCCTTTTTCTGAACAACAAAGGACAGGCGTGCTGGACAAACAGAGGTCCAACCCCACACACACACACACACACACACACACACAGCTGTCCCGTCCCAGGACACTGAAGCATGGAGGGAACAAAGACAGAGAAACAGATGAAAACGAATCTCTTTTTCCTTTTTTTTTCCTTACCAAAACGGTTGCAAATCTCTCCTCCAGTTCACCTGGCTCGGGCATGGGCAGTTTCAGAGGCATGTTGTGTCCTCTGAAATCAGTGTGCTGGTCCATGCTCCCTGCGTTCCCCATGTTTTCCCCTCTTTGACCAACAAGTACAACTTTTCACCCCCACCTCCCTCCTCCTCCTCCTCTTCTTCCTCCTATCTCTCTTCCACTTCTTGAGGGGGAAAAAAAAATCTCCACACGACGAAAAAAAGGAAAAAATATTCCTCTTTAGTTGTTGTTGTTGTTTTGTTTTTTTTTATCCCCCTTACAGGTTTTTTTTGCAGGTTTTATCCTGATATCACTTCTTTTTCCTCTTCTTCTTCCTCTTCTCCTTCTTCAACATAAAGCACATGTGAGGGAGGCAGCATAACGCGACGGGTCCGAGCAGCAGCGGCAGGAGCAGCAGCGGCAGCAGGAGCAGCGGAGGAGCCCCCGATGAGGCATTTTCACGGCAGAATGAAGGAGGAGACCCTTGGAGAAAAAAAAAAACTTGTCTCGATCCGCACGGACCTTTTCCTCGCTGTTATCCGTATCTTGCACAATTTCGGCTCCACTCCCAGTCGCTAGTAATGACGACGAGCATGATTCACTGCTTGTTGCAAATCTTTCCCCCCCCCCACCACCTCTCTTCTTTTTTTGGGTCTGTCTGTGAGTGAGTGAGTGAGTGAGTTAAAGTGGAGCTGGCTTCACTAATCCTTCCAGTGCTGACCAGCCTAGTTTAAGGAGGAGGGGGCTCCTCACTCACACACACACACACACACACATACACACACACTCACACCACACACACTGCGGCTGCACACACTCTCATCATTCCCTACAATGAGCTCTTTCAGGGGGGGGGTCTCACACTTCTTATGCTCCTTCTTCTCCTTCTTCTTCTTGGGGCGTAGCTCCCAAAGCCGTAGCTAAGGAGATGATATTTTCTGTGTTGCATTGTGGTACTTTGAGTCCACTGTGAGAGGCAAAAAACTGTTCTCTCTATGAAGTCTATGAAGTAAATATTTTTTACTCTTATGTATGTTTTTTCTTTGGTTTATGTACATTAAAATGGTCGTTCACTGTGTTAATTGGATGCATTTGATGTATTGATTTGTTGATTGTAGGATCATTTCAGTGCCACTAGATGCTTTAGAAAATAAAAGTGATGGAAGAACTCAGATCCTTTAATCGAGTAGAAATACCATAATCTAAAAATACTCCATTACATGTAAAAGTCCTGAAAAGTTCAGAAGTATAATCAGCAAAATGTACTAAAAGTATCAAAAGTAAAAGTACTCATTCTGCATAATGGATCCCTTCACATTATTATACTATGATAGAATATTAAATTATTCTGTTTTTATACCTAGCAAATACATGTAAGAGCATTTTGATAAGATAAAATAAGATCATCCTTTATTGATCGCCCAGAGGGGGGATTCAGAGATAGAGGTAAAGATAAATATAAACTTTTAAAATGGTATAAAAAGTGTAAAAGTGTATAAAATCAAAATAAGAATGGGAATAACATAATGATGTGTATGTGGATGGAAATGGAAAAAATCTCTATAAATAAAGTGTGAAAAGAAAAAACATACAAGCAATTGTACCCACAACTAGTGTTGTACTTGAAATGTTGTTAATGTTGTAGTTTGTTAACATGGAGTCAATTATAAATACTTTGTATATTACAGGGTAGTTACCCTCTGAATGTAGTGGAGTATAAAGTACCATGAAGTGGAAATAATCAAGTAAAGTACATGTTTGTCAAAATTGTACGATACCTGAGTAAATGTAAATTCCACCGCTGGAAAATAATATTACTTATTTAAAGTTTTATTAAGCAATTACTCTTAAAACCTTCTCTTCAATGTGGAAAGTGTATGATATGTATAATTTATCACATTTGAGATTTGCCAGATTAACTGTCATATTAAACAGTATTTTCCAAAATAGTGAATGAGTAAACCAGCCACTCCAGTCACTGCATTACTAGTAGATTTAGTAATGATAATAAATGTGTGTTATTAGTTATGCCTGTGAGAAGTGAGAAATGTAGCTATTTACTAGGATATGACTATTTAACTGAATCATTCACAGCACAGTGGGGACATTAAGTTTGTGTCATTCAGTAGTAGGAAAAGACATGAGCAGTTCTCAAATATTTGAGGTTAACCAAACTAACCATCATATTATACAATTATTCCTAAACTAGCGATTCCAACAACAACTCAGTCAGTGTGTCACTACTTATGATTATGATGATCTAATTGTTACAGAAGACATTTTGACGTGCCATAGCAGGAGAAAGGGAGGTGTAACTAACAACTGTTGTGTCTCCTTTCAGTAGAAATGTCCCAGTGAGATAACAGGCACATCACAGAGACCCCGGAACTGGCACACCTGAGTGTAATGCCGCAATTATGATCATTATTGGTGTCACACCTGTGTTTGACAAGAGGAAATGTCTCGTAAAGTAGTAACTACTCTTGTAAATAAACAACTTTAAAACAGCATGAGCAAACATGAGTTGTACCCTGAGTTAAAGCATTAAAATTAAACCATATGTTTTCTTTGTTTTCGTTCTTCTCCCATCTATTGTGTGTATCTGTCAATCTGGGTGGCAAAATACAGTGTGAGTGTTGCTGCGATAATAATCTCAGATTATATAATTAACTTCTTTAGAGGGTTCCATGTTTTTAGTGGCTCTCTGGCAAACTGAGGAAGAGATTTCATTTATTTCATTTTCCAGAATTGAATACTTATAACTGGGGGGAATGTGTGATTAGTTTCACTTTTGCTGTCCCATCCTTTTCTCTACTATCTTTCTCCAGCCAATATCCATGAGACAAAACCTTTAGCAACAGGTCTTTTGACCAGATTCTACCTAAAAAAAATTCCTGAGAAATCCCAGAGTGAGAGCAATGGGCCTTTTTCACAAAAGACATTTTGACACAACAATCACGTGGAAATAATGAAATTATTGACGGTTGAATTTCATTTAGCTGCTTCAGTTTCATGGTCCTGGTATTGTTCATGCTGGCTCATTGTCACACTGTCATGGCATACTGGGATACTTGAAAACAACAGATCCTTTTTACTAAGACAAGTCAAAAGGTCTGCTGTGAGAAAGACGTGATCACACAAAGTGATCCAATATCCCTGCAATGCCAACAGTGTCTCTGGCACTCGTTCACTCGTAGCTTATAGAAAAACTCAAGAATTGTATTACTACAGCTTTATGATAACACAGTCACTGACACGTTTATTCCACCGTCAAGATCTCAACGTGCATTCGGATGAAATCTGATCTGCTGACAGGGTGGAGAACACATTACGCACAAGAGGGTGACATCAGCATGCAGCGCTCTGGAGACGATCCAGAGGTTCTCCAGATGCACAGTGGTTTCATTCAGGCTGCTGGACTGATTCAACAGGGGAGGGTGTCACATCTGAGGTTGTTGGCTGGACACACTGAGGATGCAAAACACAGCTGACTGACCTCATATGATCATTACGTGTTCTGTCTGAAGACCACTCCCCCTGTGTTGTGTACTGTGTGGACTGTGTACTGCATGTTTATCCCCTTATGTTATTTACTTAGAGGATGCTGCTCATTCTGGTGTTCATTCACACTGCTAACGCATCAAGAATGCATGCATGCAATTCAGCCCAACATATACATATAGGACCAGTGTTTGGATAAAAGAAAAGAAATCACAGTTTTAAACAAAAATAGAATAATTTGTATAAGTACATTCAGTATTTAAGGTTAAAAGTATTAAAATGTTATTAAACTATAACTTATTAAGTAATGTTTACAGGTAGTGTGCACATATACTAGAAGTATTGGCAGACCATCTATAGTTATATTATTTAATGTAAGGTTACGTAATATACAAATAATGAAATAATGAGAGAATGATGGATAAAAAGTAGGACACTGGTGTATTTTGAAGAACCTGCTAGAGCCAGTTGGCCCCGGTTCACCCCTTGTTCCTCCTCTATTCTGTGCATGTGTAGTATTCCTATGTTTGCTGTGTTGTAATCTGATTAAACATATATTAATTAGGGACCTTCACCATTTAAGCACAGTATCACAATGTTATTATAGATTTTAACACACTGACTGTCTTTAAAACAGGGCTTCAAGATCACATAATAAACCAGGACCCACCTGAGGGCCCTTATCTTATAAGTTTAAAATGTGCTTTAATTGTTACACAGTGGAGCTGTGACTTCAGGGGCCCCTAGAGGTCTGGAGGTACAGAGCAGTTGCATGTTTTCTAGCCCTGTGAAGGAAGGAGGGACAAGCTTAGTTCTAATTTAATTCTGTCTTTCATGCACAGAAGCCTACGTATGTTATTTATGAACATAAACTTATGTAACACTCATTTCTTCTTCATATCAAAACAAAAAAATCCTTTGTATTCTAAACACATGTAAGTGTCTCTGTACGGACGCAATAATCCCCCTATTGTCCTAATAATAAACAAATGGAGTTTACTGTACACTGACAGCAGAGCAGTGCATGGCATGAGCTAGACAATAAGCTTTCAAACAATAACAATAATACATAGTGTCCCTCCATTATCAGCAGCAGATAACACAATCGAGGGTATGTGCAGCCTTACACACGTCCTTGTCTAACACAGCTGATGGTGACTCAGCACAAAAAAACGATAATGTGTTGATGGGATTCTTATTTGTTACAGTTAATGTCTGTGTGTCTTTCTACTGCTCAACAGCGTTTGGGTAATAAAATACATAAATGCCCTCTAAATATGAAAAATATGTTGTTCTTTTGGTAGCTTTAGCCCTGTAGTTTATTCCAAGAGGCCTCAAATTCAGTTGATCACAAACGATTTGGGAAAATAGCACCAGGAAGACAAAATAAAAACCTTAAATAGAAAGATACAGCAGCTCTGCACAATATACACTCTTCCAGGAAGCTGTGCATTAGAAACCAGAGGAAGCTTAAACGTATGGGTGGAGGGGGCACCCTGCAGCTGCATCTCCGAGAGGTCTGGGGAAATATGTGAGGCTTCAGATATCTCCAGGAGGAAATATAAAATGCAAAGGAGATGCCAAAAATAAAGGCAGCACAATCAGACCTCTGTGTGAGGAGGCTCACAGGGAGTTCATTTGGCTGCGCAGTTAAGTAACATCTGTGAAATCAAGTTCTCTTAAATAAGAGAAGACTCATGAAGTTATGGACCTTCACAAGGCTGAAGTGGAGCAACAAATGTGTCTTTGTATTTTAATTTAAGGGCTGGAGAGATGTAGAATCAGCAGAGCAAGCAGTAATACTCTGAATCTTCAGAACAAGAACGCCCTCTAATGTATGGAAAGTGTATTGCCCGCTCTGGGTCAGATTGGTGTACTATAAGGAAAAACTTCCCTCTAATATTTTCAGCTGAATTACACAAACTTTTTTAAGAGACAAAAAAACAAATATAATTATAGACTTGGACAAACCTTGGACAAACCTCTGCTCCAGGGTTTCACATCTGGAGGCAATGACTCTTTAGTTTCCACAATAACATATATTAGTGGCCAGAATGTTTATTTGCACCTCTGGTTACATAAGACAGCAACCACAGATCAAACTGTCCGCAACAGGAATGACAATTTCAACACAGTCAGTCATCCTCCCTTTCACCTTGTCGAGGCTGCATGTCTATTTACACCCAAGATGTGAATATTTCTTAACATTTTCCCTGCATTGTGTAGCTAAAATATTGATTCTATAGCAGGCGCCACACAAATAGAAGGTGTATTTCAAGAGGCTGAGTATCAAACTATATTTATTGTATACAGTATAGGGACAACAAATAATGTACAAATTAAAAAAAAAGTAATATCTGCCGATGTCAC